GGGAGAGTTAGGTCAGGCCTTGGGCCAGCCCAACTCAGGCCCATCTAGCAAGGAGTTGGGAAAGAGCGTCTGCGTCAGGCGCGAGCGCCAGACAAGGCTGGCAAGCGAGCGCCAGGAGAGCGTCATCATTGACGTATCAGCCATGATAATGGACCATACGTCAACAAGTCTCTCCCCCCCTCATCTGGTATTATTGGTAAGTGGCCAATGAAATTGGACTGGACACAGTCAAAGTAACAATGCTTAAAGAAATAGAAAGAACGACCGAACCTCGACCATGAGAGACGTGGTGTTACACGATGAGGTAGACATGGAATTATGCAGCATTGGCTGGCTTGATACCACTTTCTTCTCGAGAGTATGATCTGGTCGATCTGATGCAACGTAGTTGTTGCCGGTAATGTGATGCAGAGCGGAGCTGTTAATAATGTTATGCAGAGCAAGGCTGCTAATAATGTTATGCAGAGCTGGCCTACTAATGACAATGGTGTCGATAAGATGCTTGGACAAGGTATCTAAGAAGTGTGACCTCGCTATACAGTCTATGAGACTATTATTCAACGTGGCTGTTGTGCCAAGCTCCAAAGTTCGTAAAGCAACTATAACGTAATCGATCCATGATTCCTGTCTCCCAGTCACAGTTGAAAGTTGTCCATAAAAACATTGTTGAGGAAAACATGCGTGCCCCAGAGAGAGGGATGAGATATGAGGCCATCATCGGGTAGCATGTTATATTTCTATGCCCAGGGGGAATTGGAGTTACTGGTCAGCAATTCATACTTCCTGAGTCCCATGCAAATGCTTTACAAAACGAGATTTGCTTCGTGAGCCTGCTACTGGCACGCTCTGACTGTCACGGTATTGCAACGGTTATCTGAAAAGATAACACGATCGAATCATAAGTCAATTTGAATTTTCTGTCACAGTCATTTTGAAACACTTCGTGGAGTAGAAGTAGTAGCGTACTACTCTTCTCCCTCCCTTTTTTTGAAAATATCGAGTGGACCGAGCTGCAACGTTTATTCTGGAAGCGTATTTTGTTGAGCAGAGCTTGCGGCACGCGAGCATAAATGGTTGGTTTTTGTCTTGTAGAGATGGAACACTTTAATGTTGTTCAAGTAATCCAGTAACTTTGAAATTTCACTTGGATCTAAGCCCAATATAGTGTAGTGGTAGCCCATTTGTAATAACCAGGACAATATGAAGTTTATTGGAGCCCACTTGTGAGCCCAATGCTAATTCCTTCTTCTTCTTTTTTGTTGTGCATAAACGGATTGGAAATTGTGGGTACCAAAAGTACCACATGAGGGACCCACTTGTGCTTTTTGATAAGTTGTTTTTGAAGAAGACGAAGTCTTCCAACTTCACCCGATCTGCTATCTGGAGATGCCAACTGAGAGAAACATCAACGACTAGAGATGGTTGGTTGTTTTCGAAGGACGAAGGAGGTCGCAAATAGAGCTGGAAGCAACCAGCGACATCTTCAACGGATTTGTTTCGTTGGAGTCGTCGTTGAGAGTGCTCAACAGTTTCCGATCCTCGCCGATGTTGTAGGAGGATTGACGAGTTCAGGCTGCTGGAGGAGCGACTAGCGGCGACAGACGGTTTTGGTTTCAGTTTTTGACTGTGAATCGAGGAACAAGAACCAGAGGATGCTACTTCCCCGGAACTTGTGGCGTATCACTAGTCGGAAGAGACCGATGGTGGTATGTCTAAGGGCGTCAAAGATGGTTTTGTTAGCTGGAAACAACCGTCGATTGTCGGTTGTTGTCGGTGAAGGGTAGTTGCGCATCGCTCGGTGGTTCAACGACAGGGATACATCGAGAGTTAGACCAAGGCGGGTCCCACCTTAGGTCGTGCCATTTTCTGCCAGCTGGTGATTCTTGTATGAACCATGTGGGGCCCTTTGTGCATTTTTTTCTTTTCGTGACAACTTTTTGGCATGTACCCATAGGACTTTTTGATGTATCGTTTTTCCTTGTTTTGCTTTCCTTTTTTTCGGCTGATAAGGGGCTAAAGGATAACCATTTTTGTATTTTTATGTATCATTTGTACATATTTGAGCTGTAAGCTGTTATTTTCTAGATTTGTTTCTTTTTGAGAAATAAGATGTATTTTGGTGAAAGTGGTAAATGTGAACATGGTTCCTGGGGTTTTGCTGAGTTTTATGAGATGTACAAGTTTTGCAGTTGTATGTACAAGCAACCTTTTTAAAGAATGAGGTTGTTCATAGAAAATTACCAGCTAAAAAGGGTTTTCTTGATAATATGAACCCGAAATAGTGTAAGAACTCATAAGACTTTCTTTCTTCCCCATCTTTCTGAACAAACCACCAAAATATGAACGAAAGTTGATATGAGAATCTTTTCTTATGCTTGAGAAACGTTTTGATGAACAAAACAGAGCAGACATAGAGATCTGAGGGGAAAAACGAAGCATATCTAGAGATCTGAACGTTCGGGAAGCAGATCTGGACAGATCTTGACGAGAGCCGAACGGATCTGAAGAGATAATGGTTGAAATGAATAGATCTTAGCAAACATGTGGCGGAGAACAATAGATCTGAATAAATCAGTGGTGAAAATGAGGTTGAGACCAAGAGACGGTAGCTTATTCGCTCTCGGTCCCATGGATGGCGCCAAATGTTGCGACATGAGCTCAGGACGCTGGGTCTTCTATGTTGGATCCGGATCGGATATTTGGAGGTGGTGTCATCAACGAGTTCCCGGTGATACACCTAAGCTGCGATCACAACAAATTCGTTAGAGTTTCCCCAGGGACTGTGCCCTGGGAGCAAGCTCCGACGATCAAGTTTGATCGGTTGGTAGATATGAGATGGTTCTTCCTAGCTGGAAAGAACCATCTTTGTGTGTTGGGTGTGTGTTTGGCCATGGAAGCTGATCTCCCAAGGTGGGAGATGCATGATGTTGAAAAAGTCCTAGGAAAAGGTCCCAAAGGAAGCTCCCTCTCAATGGAGGATATTATGTTCTATTTATAGGGGACACCTAAGTCAAGGGGTAGTTAGGTCAGGCCTTGGGCCAACCCAACTCTTGCCCAGCTAGCAAGGAGATGGGCAAGAGCGCCCGAGCGCCAGGCGAGGGCCAGGCCCGGTGATATGTGCATATTTAGTTTTATATTTTGTCTAAAATCTTAATACTTTTTGGCTAATTTGTCCTAATTATTGAACAAAAGGTACTTAATTGTGTTTAAATTGTATTTTCAACCTAAAAGACATGCTCGAGTTGAAAAGGAAGCGAGATTAGCAAACGGAAGCTCGGGAAATAAAGAAAGAAGAAAAATGAAGCTAAAAGAGTGAAGAACTCATCGAGTTGGCCACCGACTCGCCAAGTAGACACGAATATTCGCGAACCATCAGATTCCTTACCGCACACGGATTTTAAGTGATGGACTCGGCGATTTGGTCTATGGACTCGACGAGTCGCCCCTGTTTTCAGAAAACTATATAAAGGGCACAAACTCACGAGACAAGGACTTCAGTCTGGAACATTGGAGCGACTAATTTGCAAAGAAAAGGATTCTTGGAGCTCTGAAACTTGAGATTGCACCCTAGACACCAATTTGGAAGAGATCTAAAGGCAAAATTCATTCTCTTTCCCTTAATCTTTTGATTAGAATATGTTTCAACCATTAGATTTAGTTTTTGAGATGTTTTTTGCTGTAAATATGAGCTAAAACTCATAACTTATGTTTAGTCTAGATGAATTTATAACTATGATTTGATTTTATGGTTGGATTAATTAGATTTGGTAAATTTGTCTTGTTGAGCTTGTTAAAGAACCTTATGTGTTGATCATGATTACTTTTCTGTTAGTAGTCAAGTTATTGAGTTGTATGAATATCATCTTAATTGCTTGAATCATACGGATTTGTGAACACAATATTGTATGCCTAGTATTAGTGATTATGAACCTAGGATTAACTAGAAAAATAAGTAAATCAATGTGTAAGCATGTATGATGAACAACCATACATGAGTTAATTAAATTGATAAATTTATTTAATATTACAAGTCTCACGTGATCCGAATCTGTAATTTAATAAGCTTCTTAGTTTAATTAATTGGCCACTTTTTGAAATAATTAGTTTGCTAAGGATTAGTAATAATGAATATGAACCTAATCACATTAAATCGGTAGCCAATGACAAATTAATCCATTGCACTTGCCATGAAATCAACCATAGGAATAAATAATTCGAACCTGAACAGAAGTCTCTTTTAATATTGAATCTAGTACCTTTATTTGCATTAGTTGTTAGTTATTTTAGTTTGAGTGTTAGTCATTTATTTAAGTTTCTAGTCTTGCAAAACAAGAGAAAACCCTTCTTTTATTTGTTAGTTTTAATTAGATAATTCTAGTAGTTAGTTTAATTGTTATCGTTCCCTGTGTTCGATACCTTACTTGCTTAAACTAAACTGCTATCGATAGGTACACTGCCTGTGTGTGTTTGTTTTTATTTGAGTTTGTTAGGATTAAAACTAGTTCATTTTACACACATCACCCGGGCGCCAGACAAAGCTGGCAGGCGATCGCCAGGAGAGCTCCAGACCGTGACGTCTGGTCCATGCTAATGGACCATACGTCAACAGTTATGTTCATTCAGTTGCTACATTAGCATATTTAAACGTTATACCTGATGGACCATATATAGACTCATTGTACCTGGGAGCCTTCTTCCATAATACCTACAAACAGTCCATGCATGGCATTAATGGAATGAACATGTGGCCTTCTGCAGACTATATACCCCCATTGCATCCATTGAAAAGAAGAATGTCAGGCAGGCCAACCACGAAGAGAATGAGGGATGCTTCTAAAAATTATGGAAGACACACAGTTTGAAAGGCATGGAAAAAGGTTTCTTGTGGCATATGAAAATAGAAAGTACACAACAAGACCACTTGCACTCAAGTGCCAAGGCCTCCCAAAACTAATGGCACAAAGAAACAAAAGGTTATGTAAACACAAGAGTGAGTGAATATGAAAATAGGTGGGGAAGATGATGGTATGGGTGATGTAGGTGAGCTACAAGCTAAGGACGTGGTGAGGGTTAGTAAAGTTGAGGAAGTGGTGAGGGTTAATGAAGGTAAGGAACTAGGCAGGGTTAATGAAGTTGTTAGGCATGTGTATAGTAGAGGTCAACCAAGCAAGAGGAAAAAACCTGAGAGAATTCTTAAACTTAAACTTGCTAAAGGGTTAAAGGTGAAGGTAGTAGTGCTGGATCGCCAATGGACTTGGATTAATTAAAGTTCTAATTATATGTTTGTTATATGGATTAAGTAATGTTATTATTGTGTCCGGGAACAAGGGTATATATGTTTGTTATGTTAATCTATCTTATACTAATCTTAAGATTTGATATTTTGATTCGTATATGTAATTATATTATATATGATGTTTTTTATGTTACTATGTACATGGTACTTTAGTCATTTCAAATATTTAAACAGGTAGGGGTAGTTTACTTATTTGAGATAGTTAGGGCGGTAGGGGTAGTTTAGACATTACAAATAGTTAAACAGTTAGGAATAGTTTAGGCATTTCAAGTAGTTAGGGCAGCAGGGGTAGTTTAGGCATTTAAAATAGTTAAACAGTTAGGGGTAGTTTAGGCATTTCAAATACTTAAACAGTTAGGGGTATTTTAGTCATTTGAAGTAGTTAATCCATTAGGGGTATGTTATTTCAAGTAATTAAATAGGTAGGGTATTTTAGTCATTCAAATCAGTTAACCCATTAGGGGTATTATTGTCATTTCAATTACTTAAACAAATAAGGTATTCTAGTCATTTAAACCAGTTAACCCATTAGGGGTATTTTAGTTATTTGTATCAGGTAACCCTGAAGGGGTATTGTGGGTATTTCAATCAATGCTTTTTATGTCATTTAACCCATTAGGGGTATTTCAGGTTTTCTAGTCAATTACCTAAGTGCCCAAGTACTAAAACAACAAAAATGAACTTTTTCATGGTTTTCCATCTCTAGGTAAAACACAAGGACTTTGCAGTGGTCCCTTTTCGTGCCTCATGTATTAGATTCTTCTCTTTTGTCCCTTGTCCCCAACAGAAACATTGTGGCCCCTGTTTTGTTTGTTTAAAAGAGTTTGACTTTTTCATGTGGTCCCAGGAAGAACATCAACAAATCTGGTTATTGCTTAATCACATATATGACTGTTGGTTTGTTTCTATACAGATTATACGCACATTTAGAGCTATACCAACAATATTTTAACTTAACTAACATTTCATTCATGGGTTTGTGTTACATTGCATACATAATTTCACTTTACATCTATTAGACAAGTTAAAACAAGATTTCTACCTGCATATTACTACATACGACTACCATCACCAGTGATTACCATCAAAAAATTGATCATCACAAGAAACATTATCACAAAAACGACGACCACGACCACCAACTACTACCACCAGAAACAAAACGACTTACTAATAAGGACGGTAAACCAGATGCACAACACAATAAAAGACAAACCCACGATAGAAATGTTGTAACCTATAGTTCTTCAGTCATTTTAAGAACTTGTAGGTTAACACCACCACAACAGCGACAACAAAAAACACAACAACCCATTTGACTATGTTTCAATTGTTTTTATCCATGACGATGTTGACATATGATTATTGTAGTGAACACAAATGGTTCTTCAGATCATCAACCATGTTAGACAGATCGAGCTAACATGCCCTAACATCATCGAATTCATGGTTGAGGGCGTCCAAATCTCTAGTGACACTGAGTCGTAGTTCGCGAAAGTCGTTTCCAATCTCATTCCTTACAAGAGACAACTACAACTGTGCCTGGAGCAGATTGATCGCCATGTCTTCATGTGTGAATCCGTTGGAACCTTCTCAATCAAGGGTCGACTGCAGTTGGGTGACTAGTTGTGATTTGGAGATAATCGTGAAGGTATGGTTTTGCTGATTGGGATTGAAGTTAAGGATGCAGTTAGGGTAACCAGCTTTCGAATTGTGCCATTTTAGGGCACATTTTTCTACTTTTATATGGAGGCGGTGGAATAGTAGTTACGTGACCTCTACGATTCACATTCCAGACGAAGTCATTTGGGTCGTTGGACACAATTAAGATTTTGCCATGTCATGGATGATGTGTCAAGTGGGGATGATGTGGCAGGGTTACCAGACATAATAAGTAAAATGGACTAAATTTCAAGGTTTCCACACACTTCGCTCCCTCATAAAGCCACTAAAAAGGTTAAGTGACTAAAAAGGTCAACCCTAGAAAGTTTATAGGATATATATGTCATTTTTACTATTGATTTTCAAGAGTTCAATAAATGATTATGATTGTTCTAAAACATATTTTTTGACAAAAGTATAATAGTTAGAAAGAATATTTACTAATAGCATTATATCTTACTATATAATATTAACAAAGTTGTATTATAAAAAAGTCCTTTTTTTAAAACAATATAAAATGTTAGATCTCTAGAATGGTTCACGAGGTTAGTCCAAAAAACAAACTTTTTATAAAGACAGAATAAATGGCTAGTCTTTTCATTTATATTTAACAGAAAACTAACACATTAGCTTTCTGTTAAATATAAATGAAAAGACTATATTTCTATTCTCTCTCTCTCTCTGTATGTATATATATATATATATATATATATATATATATATATATATATATCATCGACTTTCACCTCCTAACTAAAAGCTTAACACCAAATTTTCCTTAAAGATTTTAGTGTGTGAGTTTGAAAATCAAACCAAATCTAGCCACAATCAGAAATACATTAACCAAATCAAATCATCCATCGGAAATACATAAAACGAACTGGGTCAACAGAGATCAGAGACATAAAGAGGAGCATCAACATAGATGAAAGAGGGAAGGACAGGGAGTATTTAGTGGTGGGAGATCGTGGTGGTATGTGATGGATATGAATTGGTGTTGTTCATTGGAGAAGGTGGTTGGTAAGTGGAAGTATATATTGGTTTCCTATTGAAGAGGTTGTGATAGTGGTCTGTTAATTTAAGGTTCTTCAATACACACACACACAAATACACACATACACACACACACGCATACACAGAGAGAGAGACCCACCCGGTGTGCAAGGTTTATATATGATAAAAAACTCATTAAGGGTATATTGGTAATTTCACATAGGTTTAACAATAAAATTTTAACAAAGTTAATTAAAAGGACCCATAGAAATTTAAAACTAAAAGGACTACTGGTGTGTAAGGTTTGCTCCAAAGGGATTATCCATGCAAAAAAGGTTTCATACATACTATATTAGGGGTATCCTTTATCATAAAATATTTTCGGTCAAATCATCCAGTTTGAAAATTTTGCTTAATCGGCCTATAACTAGGTTAAACAAATCACGAATACACCCAGTCCATCAAAAGATAACACTAGCATTTAGGTGACCTTTATCTCACTAACGCATATACGTGACGTGTGAGTTCTTTCAAAACAGATTGCATATATTTGAGTTTAAATAAGAGTTCTTTGATGTTTTATAATTCTAGTTTAAAAAACATATGATATCATGGTTATTGCACTCATCCAATAAGTCATGGTACAATTTTATTTAAAATCACAATTTAGCAATGTTATTTTATAAAATCCAAATTTTATATAATTGACACGATCAAATTTTAAAATTGATATCTAGTATTAGTTGGACGTTTGAGCGCCAAAAGAACATTTATTAACCTTTTAATAAAATTTTCTTTTATAAAATAAGGTTTGGAGTTTGATAAGTCTCTAAAATCTCAATTTTAAACTTATATAATTTAATCCTGAAATTTACCATTAGCTAGTTTGTAAATGATAAAACTCATTTTATTTTTAAAACTATTTACCATCTTATGTTAAAATATAAATTTTATTAAAACCAAACTCTATGTGATGTTATTTATGTACAAAATTTTATCTTGCATGTGAAATCTAATTTAACAGATATAAATGCGACATCCTCTATTTTTCAGAACCGAAAAAAAATTATTTAAGCTTTTAAAATTCATAACATCTTTATATGATAAGAATCTTAGTACATTAAAACATTTTGAGTACAAATGATTGTCTCAAATTAATAAAAACTCTAAGGATGTTATAATCGATATAGAACATATGCTCAAATTAATAAAAACAATAAGGATGTCATAATCGATATAGAACATTTTGAGAACCATCTATTATGTTTATCAAAATTATTCACAACAATAAGTATCAAATATTTCCATTTACATATTTTGAGTTTGCATGTTAGTGTTTGTTACTAATCAGATTCTTAGATAATTCATAGGCTTTAAGAATGCACCATACTGTTCAAGAATATGAAGACGAACGATCAATAACACTTGGAGAAGATGATGAATATTACTCTATGAGAAATAAGCCTTATAATTATGCTCTTTTAGAATGCACATTTTTTCATATTCTTTTAGAATGATCATTTTTTCCAAATTCATACCAAGAATGGCTTATTTACTGTATATTCTTTAAAAATATGATATCTTATTTAAAATTTGATTTTATGTAAAATGAATATTTCATATTCCTCAAGAATTCTCATTTGGTATTATAGTTTTGGTTGTGTAAAACGAATATTACATTTTCTTCAAGAATATGCTATACAATATTTAAGAATCATTCTTAAAGAATGAAATTTGTTTCATGTATGATACCACTTTTATGGACTTCAGTTTCTAAACAAATGATGTGACTATCCATGTTTAATGTTGTAAAATAAGATAAATAAGTATTTAATGAAAATCTCATTAAATTATGCAATAAATAAGTAATATTTTATTTTAAATAAGGAAATGATTTGTATACAATATTTTTTCTTTATAGACAACATTTTATGATTAATAGAATTGTACAATACAATAATTTAAAGCACAAATTGTTGTGTACGAAAATTTTATTTATGTATGAATCGGTTCCCTTTTAAATATAGGTTAACAGAATAAAATATACATATAATTAATTAAGTATAATTATATAGTGCATGTTATCCCATGTTAATCATATGTACCCTCAAATCACACTCATTTATTATTTTTAATCCAATGGACAATAATTGGTCATACATTCTCACAATATTTGTAGTTTATATTTAATCCTAGCCCTATTATATATATATATATATATATATATATATATATATATATATATATATATATATATATATATATATATATATACTGTTTGGAAAATTCACTTTAAACATCTCGCTAGATCTAGGC